CGTACGGTGTCGAATAATTTGGTGTCGAATAAATCTGTGTCGAATCGAGCGGTGTCGAATCGTACTGTGGTCAATAGAGTATCACCCGACGTCACTAACTTACACTTTTCCGACAACTTTATCTCTCTGACTCCGTTTATAGTTTCCTTTGCTTCTTTTCGGTTTTTGCACGATATCACCACCGACTCGCTTTTCGGGGTTGAGTACAGCCATACACGCGCTTTTTCTAGCCTTATCCACATTGTGTGGTTCGAAATCACAGTTTCCTCTTTACAATTGGAAAACTCTCCTGAATTACTAACATATGCCTGCACCTCGCATGGTGCGTCCGCGTGTATCTTGACACCGATTCTATATTATCGCAGACATAATTATTTCCAACGTTTTTACATTTCTCTAGCTGACTCACTTTTACAATGGAGTATGTTTGTTTATTTTCATCTACTGCAACTATCTCGAATTTTACTTGTGCCACCTTAAAACATTATCGTGGTCGTGCACCGGCAAGGGTACTACCTTCAACAAGTCGTATTCTACCGGAGCTACTAGTGGAAACTTGATGACAGTATACACATTCGCGTTCTTACAATACACGCTAACTGTGACGTATTCGTTTATTGTCGACTAATTTTCCAGTGTTATGACGAATCAAAAATGTAATCCGTGGGCAGACCAATTATTCGCGTCCTGGAGGCCTTTTATTATTAATTCAACGGGTACCATTTCTAACTGCGCAAACTTCGCTTGTACGTCCGTGACGTAACCCATGATACTTTCCACGTTGAACTCGAGTTCTGTAATCATGCTGCCTAATTCCATAAAATATTCGCTAAGTTCGGCTTGCTGCGCGTAACTGTCTACCTTTTGTGTTATTTTAACCATCGCGTTTTTTAATTTGTTTTCCTTTCTCTCTACGACCTCCTCAATGTTTTCTACGTGAGCAATAGTCGCGTTTATAACCTGCAGCTGATTTTTTACCACGTGCTGTAAAACAGCTTGTTTTTTGTTTAACAACTCTACTTGTTCCGAAACTTGCTTTTCGTCTTCGGCATCTATTGTACCGAACAGAATTTTCGCGACGGAACCTACTGCGTTAATCAGCCCCCTTTGACTACGTTTTTGTGTTCCCACTATAGTGTTAACGCGTTTTACTATTTTTTCCACTTTTTGCAATCTTTGTCGTAACTCCGCAGCAAACCCCTTGCACAGTTCTCTAGTCCTGCGCGTTATCGCCGCATTTTCGCACGCCTTCGTTGTATAGTCTAACATACGTTCCGTTCGTTCCGTTCTTGTGTATACCGTTGATACGTCCACTCTTACAACTAGTCTCCATTTTTCGCTAGCGTGGAGCATCGTTCCGTACTTTTTGTAGTACACGCCGGGATTGTGTTGAAACTTTCGTATGTGGTACCCTTGGTCCTCGGCTTTACTCCACGCGACGCAAAAGATAAGTACTGTTACTACTTTTATTAACAACATTTTCCTGCAAGCAAAATGTTTTATTCAATACGCCTTTATACATTATACTTTATTTTTATCGCGAATGGTGTCGCCTAACAAGTGGAACCGCGAGCGTCGGTCGTACTCCGAGTTCGATACTCTGTCATCTAAGCTCTTTTTATTATCGCTTATACTAATCCTAGGACTTACGTTTGAGTCGTCCTGCTGTCTTTTGTACTTCGGACCATGGCTCTTCACGACAACGAGCACCAGTATCCCGTTCGCCACCGACTCGGTAACAGCGGTGTGTTTTTTTTTGTGTTTACTACAACAAGTGTAAGTGTTTGGTTTCAGAACATACAAGTGTGCCTTTTTTTTTAACGACACCACTTTGTTTTAGTGCTCGTAAAATGTCCAAATTTGTGTATTCCTCGTGCACTGATGATAGTGCGGAGGAGTCGTCGAACGACAGCTTGGGAGGATCCACGATCTCGCTTAGTTCTGAGAGCTCCGAGAGCTCCGGTTCCCCGCGCCCTGTGACGCCCCACACCCCCGAGGGCCCGCCGCCGTCACCACCGGGCTTCCCGGAGGTGGTTTTCCTGTGCTCGCGGCTTCCGCCGCCTGCCTCCCCCGACCCGGAGGTCAACCCGGACGATTCGGACGACGATGTCGTCTGCTTAGGGCCACCGCCGCCCGTCGTCCACCTCCTCATCGTTCTTTCAGACGATGAGTGAGGCAACCCGGTTAGTTCTTTTTGTTTTTTAATTTTCTACAAAGGCTTTCAGCCTATTCACGTGCACACTCTGCGTGCGCTGTCCTGTTTTGATTGCATACGTTACGTCTGACGTTTTCGCAATTATCACATAAGATTCTATCTACTTTGATTCCACTTTCTTAGATCTGCCTCTTCTCAGTGTCTCGTCATAAAGTAAGACCTTTTCTCCCACGCTAAATGCTGCTTGCTTTGTCTTTTTGTCATAATAACGTTTTGCTTTTTTCTTTTCTTCTTTGAGCTTTTCTCGCGCTACTCGATTTGTCGCCCGCAATTTTTCTTTTAATTCTTGCGCGTAGTTTTCTAAATTGTACTGTGTAGACGGTTTGATTTTGTTAAGGCGGTCGGTAATTCCGCGTACCTCCCGTATACTAACTCAAAGGGTGTAAACCCTGTTGCCGTGTGTGGTGTCGTATTGTACGCGAACATTGCGTACGGCACCCAGTCGTCCCAATCCGTCTGGTCCTTGTTCACGTAGTGACGTATATACTCGGCTAATGTTCGATGCAAACGCTTTAACGCTCCGTTACTTTCCGGATGATAGGCCGTTGTCTATACTTTATTTATTCGCAGTAACTTGCAAACATTTTTAAACAGTTTGCTTAAAGTTTGTTCCTCGATCCGTTAAAATCGTTTCCGGAATCCCGTGTTCACACACAATTTTCGTCGCGAACTCCTTTGCTACCGTAGCGGCTTCTTGATTCGGAACGGGTATCGCCTTACTAAACTATGTTAGACCGTCTTGAAACGTCAGCAAATATTTATTTCCGCTACTTGTCACCGGTAACAGCCCGACAATATCAAACGCACATTTTTCGAAACGCTTTTCTGGCGTATCCGTAATTACTAGCGGTACTTTTATTTTTCGCGACAACTTATTCTTTTGGCAGAATTTGCATTTCAAAATATAATTTTCCACGTCGCTTGTCAGCTTAGGCCAGTCGTACCTCATTCTTATTCTTTTTACTGTACGTGCTATTCCTTGGTGTGCGCCCACCGGTGAATCATGATACTCGTATAGTATCTGTCTCTTTTCCTCTTCGGTTAGCTCTTGCCTCTCTCTCTTCTTTTTTCTTGTTTTCTCGTTCTCCTTCGCTTCGCACGTGCATGCCTCCGCGAGAGCTCTGCTCAACGCGTCCGCGTTGGTATTCGCCTTCCCTTTCTTATGCATGATTTCGTAATCATACTCTTCTAACTTCAAACGTCATCGCACGAGCCGCGATCCGGGGTTCTTTACGTTAAAAAGCCACACCAGTGCCTTATGATCGGTGACAATCTTGAACTTCGTTCTGTATAAATAAGGCCTGAAATGCTTTACTGCCCACACAATTGCGAGTAACTCTTTTTTTGTCGTGCTGTAGTTTCGTTCAGCTTTATTGAGTACTCGGCTCGCGTATGCAACCGGCCGATCTCGACCTACCGCACCTTGCGATAGCACCGCGCCGACCGCGTAACTCGACACGTCGGTTGTCACGATAAACTCCTTGTCGAAGTCCGGATATGCGAGCAATGGAGCAATAATTAACTTTTCTTTCAAATTTTCGAACGCTTGCTGCTGCTCGTGCCCCCACTCGAACGCTACTTCCTTCTGCAACAGTCGTGTCAACGGCTTTCTATTTTTGAGACCTGGTTGATAAATTTTCTGTAGTATCCTGCCAGACCAATGAACGCCTGTATATCCTTCGCTTTTTTTGGAACTGGAAATCTCTTGACCGCCTTTATTTTCGACGGATCCGCCGATATACCCTTCTCGGTAATCACGTGCCCTAAATACGTGACCTCTTTGCGAAAAAATTTGCACTTATCTGGCTGCAACTTTAAATTATCCTTCCGCAATCTTTTAAAACCTCTCGTAGCCGCTTGCTGTGCTCTTGCAAGCTCGCACCGTGTATCACGATATCGTCGAGGTACACGAAACACTTTATACCTCGTAGTCCCATCAGGACCGAATTCATCAACCTTTGTAACGTCGCCGGCGCATTTTTTAATCCAAAAGGCATTCTGTTATATTTGTAGTGACCATGCGGCGTTGAAAACGCTGTCTTTCCTCTGTTTTCTTCGTCCATCGGTATCTGATGATACCCGGACGCCAAATCTAACGTTGAGAAATACTTCGCATTCCCAAGTTGGTCCAATATTTCTGCAATATTTGGCAGTGGAAAAGAATCGCCTATTGTCGCTTCATTTAGTCGTCGAAAATCTACGACTATTTTTAATTTTTTCACGCCGGACGCGTCCATCTTTTTCGGAACCACTAGTAAAGGTGCGTTCCACTGACTTTCACTATCGCGTATTATTCCGCTTTTTAACATTTCTCCGATTTGTTTTTCTACCTCTTGTTTATGCTTCTGCGGCAACCTATATGGCTTAACGCTTATCGGAGTGGTGTCAACTCTCACAGGTATCTTATGCTTCACCGCGCTTGTCTTAGATAACGGCTCCCCTGCAAGATGGAATATATCTTGATACTCCTCGCGTACCTCGTACACTGTTTCTTTCTCTTCTTTATTTAAATGCTTCACTCGCAATGCCTCTTTTACTCTTTTGCGGCGTGTTGACCTCTCCGTTTTTATGCTTGCGTTTGCTATTTTGCTACTTGTCTCACTCTCTTCTTCTAGCGTTTCCAATTTAACACGCGGAGTGTTTATTGTTACCGTTTTTTCCGTAGTATTTACTATACTCACGGGGCAAAAATTTCCTTTTGGTTGTACCAAACAGCTTCCTATGAAAACTCCTGGCTGCGTTTCTTCCCCTTGTACTATTCCGATCTGATTACTATCAGTTACAGCTTGCACGATTGTTTCGTTACATGGTTGCAATTTTACATTTTTGTATGGGCGCAATTGCAACTTATTTTTTCCCAGCGAGAGTTTTCCCGCTTTGGAATCCGGCTTGGCATTGTGCTTTTTCATAAAGTCATTTCTTAAAATGCCCTGGTAGCTAACTGGGAAATCGTCTCTTACAACATAAACCGGATGCTTAATATTTTTGTCTTTTAGCCGTATGGTTGCTGTGATTTTCCCTATGACGCTTGCTTGATGCCCTGTAACGCCTGTCAGTTTTATGCTCGTTCTCTCGGCTGGCGTTTTCTCTTTTAAATATTTCTTTTTAATCAATGACACTGTAGCTCCAGTGTCATAAAGCAATTCCACTTCGCCTTTCTTTGCTTCTCTCATCGGTACAGTGACTAAGTCCAAAACCGCTTGCGCAGCATGTAGCTCGGCTACCTGTAGCTCTGCTACTGACACGGATATTTTCTTTTCTTTTCCGTTGTTCTCTTCGTCACTCGATGACTCGCTATTGTCACTTCGGCTTTTCTTTTTCCTGTCTTTTGCTGCACATATGGCTTTTACAGCTCCTTTTTTATTTTTCCTGCCTTTCAGTGACCAGCAATTTTCTTTGATATGCCCTGCTTTTTTGCAATAACTGCACGTTTTGTCCACAACGTTTACTTTGCCACTGCTTGGTTTAGGCAATGCTGTTCTGCTAGACAGATACTCTCTTCCGTAGTGCCCGATCTTTTCGCATTTGTAGCACGCGTTTTTTTCATAACTTTTTCCCATCTTTTGCTTCACTGCAAAATTTCCACCGTGGCTGTTTTGTGGCACCGCCACCTTTTCCTCAGAGCTTACCGCGTTTATAGCCTCTTGCAACGTTCCATAGTTGCGTGACCTTATTATTAACTTGACGTCACTCCTTAAACTTATTTGGAACTGGTGCAACGCTTGCCATTTAATAGTATTCATAATAGTACGTTTCTCTTCCATGGTGTGCCCTTTGCCTTCCACCATAGATTCGTACAACTCCATGGCCGTTTGATTTACTCTTTGACCGTAAACCTGTGCGCTTTTATTATTCTTTTGTCACAATGTGTTAAACTCTATTTGTAATTGTGTAGTGCTTCGCTTTGCAGAATACGTAGTTTCTATTTCTGTTTTTAACTGTTCAAAATCGCGAATATCCTTTGTTTCAAAAGCAATCAATGCTTGCTTTCTCAGCTTGGTTCGCAATACTGCTTGCAAGAGAGCGGGTTTCTCTGCAGGGTTGACCATTCCCTCTGCGCATACTCGCACGCATTTAAAAATTCTCGAACTTGCTCGGGTGATTTCCCAGTAAACATCGGTACCATTCCGACCACGTTTTTTAATTTTATACTACCATTATACAACACGGCGCGATTTCTTACGTCGTCAGCTGTTCGCCCGTACGTTACGTCTAGCTGTTCGCTCGGACGTCTGTACACGTGTCGCGTCATCGACACACCCGTCCCGCGCCCGTGTGTCTCGCGAAGTTCCGTCACCCGTCGGTCCACCGCGTCTATTTGCGAACTTATCATTTCTAATGACCGCACTACCTGCTGTAGCATTGCGTCAGCGGAGTTGTAACTTTGCCCACTTGTTCCTGCGGCCCCGCGCCCCGCGGTGCCGCCCGCAGTCAACTCGTTTCGCATTCGGGAAATTTTGCGTTCCACTTTTTCGCGAGTTCGGTTTATATTGTGTTCGTCAAATTCCTGTTCCATACTTTCGTTATTCATTTCGGCCCGCTGTCTTGTGTAAAACAACTCGCTCTCGTATGAAATTAAAAAAGACCTCTGAGTACCACTGCTCGGGGTTCCACTGTTCTCAACTCTATCGCAATTTATTACACTTTGTAAATAACCGGCTATACTACCGTCTAAATCGAACGGAAATTCTCTTTCTACAATTACATTCGGACTTAAATTCCTATCCTGCCTATTTATTTCTGCTTCTTGATAAAGCGCCGCCGGTGCGGTTCTCGATTCCCGTACCGGTATTTGACTTTGTAGCGACCGCGCTACTCGCTCGGATTGTACGCCGCGTTGGGGCGTGTTCCGTTTGACCACAGTACGATTCGACACCGATCGATTCGACACCAAATTATTGGACACAAAATTATTGGACACAGATTTATTCGACACC